GCGCCAGCGTCGCAGCCATCCCGCCGGCCCTCCCGGGCGGCCCTCCCCGGCGCGTGGCGGACCCCGAGCGGCGCGGCACCCCGGGAGCCGCTCTGGCCGCACTTCCGGACTCTATGGCCGCGGAGCCAGCGCGACCCTGCGGTGAGCCGGGAGGCGCCGCCTCGGGCTGCACGCTGAGTCTTCTCGAAGCAACGGCCCCGCTCTGGCAGCTGGTGTTTCTGGGCCCTTGTTGGCCCGTGCGATGCAGGTGGAAAAGGAAACTGAGACCCTCCGTGCCGGTCACAGTTGCCCGAGGGTGCCAGGGAAGGCACTCCGGACCCGAGTCCTGGCTCCGCCTAGATCAAACATTGCTTGCCACCAAAGGTTGATTTCCTTCCCTGTAAAACGAGTTAAGCATACTTCCTGTGCGTCCTTCGCAGGATGGTTGTGAGAATCAAAGTGAGTATGTATGAGGACGCCTTTTTAACTGCTGGACGAGTGTGCCAGATGGCTTTTCTGACCCATTAATAACAATGCCCTGTCTTAAGTTTTCTATAGATGTAATCCATAGGCCATGTGAATTAGTTTGCCCTTAATTGGATTTCATATACATTTGGTTACAAAATATGACTCCAACATAATGGTTTAATAACATTCATTTAATGAACATTAAGTACCTCCTGTGGACAAGGCACAGGATCAAGCCTTTTGCATAATTTATCTACCAAACAAAATGTCAAACCCATTCTGATTCACGGTGACCCTGAAAGGTAGCCGGATTAGGGACAAAGGGGGATGGATGCCTACTAAGCTAAAGGAAAATTTGATGTCCAGGCCAAAATAAAGAGGTTGGAAGGAAATCAGGCACCCTTCAGACACCTATGGAAAACCCAAGTCTCCTAGGCCCAGGTGGGAGGTCCAGAGTAGGCACCAGCGACTTGATAGCACACAGGTGCGCCTAAACTCAGCCAATAAGGTCCACCAATATCCTCAACCCCGCCTCCCCAGCTAGTGGGGATAGGAGGGAAGAAAAGCAGGCCTTGGGCAAGCCTTGTGCTTTTTTCTCACTAGCGCTCTACAGTGTTATGGCCTGTTATCCCTCGGCCCCAAGATCAGAGAGGCAGAGTCACCGAGGCTGCAAACAACAAAGGAGTTTATTGACTAGCTCAAGCTAGGGCCCAAGTGCTAAAGTACCAACGCAAGTGCTAAAGTACCAATGCAGTAGCCACCAAAGACAAGGACCCCGGCCTGGGGCACAAACCAAGTTTTTATACTCTACAGGTTACATAAACTGGGTGAAACTATCCCCCCTGGGTGAGACTACTTCCCCCTCACCCTCCCATAGTTCAATGACTTCATCTGGAGACAATTGGTTGTGTAGGTCTTTTTGGCTGACTGGCTCCACTCTCGGGATGTTCCAATTGTGGTCACTCAGAACTTTCCAGGTGCGGTCAGCGTCATTGTGCTCTCTCGGACCTTTCCAGGTGTGGTCAGCGTCATTGTGATCACTCGGACCTTTCCAGGTGTGGTCAGCGTCATTTCGGGGGAAAGGGTGACTTTGTTAGAGAAATGAAACTCAAGGCTGTTAGAGAAACAAAACTTAAGCTGGAAAAATGAAACCTAGGCCTATTTTAAGAGGCTCGCGTGTCATGGAGTCCCTGCTGCCTTACAATCTTTCTGTTGCGCTCTGCATGCAGGAGAGTGGGAATCTCTCCTGCTTACGCACCTGTGGCCCTCTCGGGAGCATTCTTTGGCTGTCTTGGGATTTTCTGTTCTTAGCTCCACACTCGGGTTCCTGCTCCTGATCCGGTATTCCTTCCACGTGTTTTTCTGTGCTTCCCTGAAATGGCCATTTTTAGTCCGGAATGTTTCCACACACACTCCCTAAGTGGTCTTGTATGCTAAAGCGTGTACTTTTTGAGACTGTAATACCTGAAACTCCCCTTTCCCTCATAAAAGTCACTTGGGCTGATACCAAGGGCTCAAGTTGAAAGCAAATGTTTTGAGAATGATGAGGGCAACAAATGTACAAATGTGCTTGACACAATGGATGGATGAATGGATGGTGATAAGAGTTGTACGAGCCCCCAATAATATGATTTATTAAAAAGTAATAATAATAATAATTGTGATCCAAGTTTTAAAACAAAGTCACTTGGATTTACAAAAGTGCTTCTGCTGCAAGAATTCTTTCAGCTTTGAGAAGCAAGAACCGAGGTAAACCAACCCCAGAAACCTAACAACCTGACAAGACAGAATAGAACTGCCCCATAGGGTTTCCAAGGTTGTAAATATTCATGAACTAAGGCTGCCACATCTTTCTCCCTAGGAGCAAGGAGCACTGCTGGGTTGCAATAACTAAACTTTCTGTTAGCAGCCAAACACTTAACAACTATGTCACCAGGACACCTAATTGAGATCTACCTGCCCACCCAACCCATTTAGCCCTGTGTAACCCTGTAAATTCCACAGCTTGCTCAATGAGCCCTTGCAGTACAGGAGACGCTGATCCAGGATGTGAAAACATACATCTCATATATAGTCTAAATCTGTTTTCCTGCTCCTCTCCCTCATGATAACCTGTTTCGTTTGAGCCCTTTGCTCTAGGAAAAAACATTCCATCACAGCAAGTGAGTATCCGTTTTAGCCAAATCTCGTGCCCTGAACATGCACAGAAAGGACAGTCGAAACCTAGAGTTGACCCCTAACAAAAGAACTGTGGTTAAGGAACAAAAAGTCACTGGAAATGTATCACCAGACCAATGTGGACAACATTTAGAATTGAGGACTACGGCGGTCACTTTCAAGTGGCCAAGCCACTTCCGGCCACAATTCATATTGATGAGCACTCCTTGAGAAGTTTGTTATTCATAATCCCCTCAATTTACTTCCTGATGTGTATGTATAAAACTGCATATCACTTTTTTTTTTCTGGGGAATGCCTTGGCAACCCTGTTATGGGTTTGTTCCTTGCGTGGTCAACCAAAGTAAAATCTTCTCCTTTCACTTTCCCTTTCACCCAATCCCACTTTGTTTCTCAGCTGTGTCCAGCAAGACTTGGGTTGGTAACATAATTTATGTAACCATTTGCTTATTGTTGAGTTTCTTGATAGTTTATCACTGGTTCTTGTTCTGAATTGATATTTTTTTAAATGTTTCTTGGGATGTGTTATAAGCAATAAAATTAAGTCCATTTCTATTCATTAATACTTTTTTAGCATGTTTGAAATACAGAAAATACACAGAAACAGATAAGTAGTTAAAGAGTCATCATTTTATTTTGTTTTTTTTTAATCTTAGAAGTTTATGTTGGGGGGGAATACACAAATAAGTTTACTATAAGACAAATATGTCATTTGCCACAAGAGATGAACAGCTATAAGAGCCTGGGGGAGAGGGAATCAAGAAGTTCAATGAACCGAAGTGGCATGTAAAAGACGGGTCATAGTTCTGAATGGCAGAGAGTGGACCTCCCATGGGGAGGACTTTCCACAGGACCCTAACAACATGCACCAAAGAATCCAGGTGAGGACGTTCAAGGCAGGTTCTGGGACCAGTGAGTACTTAAGTTTGGTGAACTTGGGTTATGACTAGGAATAGAGATAATCAAGGCAGAGTCTTAGTTTGAGCTGTATCATGGAAAGCCTCTTTCTGTGCCAACAGTGAACATAACAGAGCTCTGCTTTGGTCAGATGGATCTAGCAACAACACAGAGAACTGACTGAACAGAGGGAGGGTGTGACAGAGAATCCTGTTAGGAGGATGTTGCAATAATCCAGGCAGGGGGAAATTACGAAAGTATGAAAAAGTCGGGGGGAAGGCTGTGACAGATAATTAAGAGTGGTGCCAGAAGTTGGGACACTAGTTACTAGGGTGGTGGTGGTGGTGGTGGTGGTGATGTGTGTGTGTGTAAAGCATTAAAATTATGGTTGAGATTATTTCATTTTAAACATACAATGTGACATAGAGGAAATGCATTTGGTGGGGGCCTATGTAAGAACCTCAGTGATGAAGTTATTTTTCAGAAATGAGGTGCAAGACCATGTGATGATTACCTGAACAGGGGAGAGGTTGAGGAGAGTCAGAAATAGGCAGGCTCAGTGCATGGCTGAGAAAAGGCTGTCCTGGCCTTCATGAACCCATATAGTTTCGGATATAGAATTGCACCCTATTAGTTCTCTAATAAACTACTTAATTGTTAAAAAGACAGAGACTTTGTGATGCCATCTCAGACAAGAAACAGTTTAAAGTCACAAAGGACAGCAGACTGATGCTGGGATGCAACAAAGCTATCTTTCACGTGGTGCTCCAGGTGACTGAGATTTACTCAAAACAGATTTACCTAGCTAATGATGGCTAATGATATTTTGCAAACAATCATTCAAAAACAATTGCAGCAGTACATCAATAGGGAACTGCCAGAAAAGCCAGATTCAGAAGAGAAGGAAGTAAAGCACAGAATTGCTGAGAGCAGATGGATCTTAGCTGAGAGCAGAGAATACCACAGTGATACCTGTGTTTTATTGACTAGGCAAAGACAGTTCACTCTGTGGACCGTAACAAATTATGGATAAAATTGAGAAGAATAGAACTTCCTGGACACTTCATTGTGCTCACAAAGGACCTCTACATAAAACAAGAGGCAATTGTGTGACCAGAACAAGGGGACGCTGTGTGGTTTAAAACCAGTAAAGGTGTGCATCGGGGTGGTTTTCTTTCATCAGAGTCATGCAGTCTTTATGCTGAACAAATCATCTGAGAAACTGGACTGTATGAAGGGGATCACAGCACCAGGATTGGAGAAAGACTCATTAGCAGCCTACGTACAA